CGTTGTAATTTGGTTGTGAACAAACAAAGTAGCCAAAATTTATCCATAGGATCACTATTTCCAAAAGAAGAAAAAAAGTTGCAGATCCTTTGGTTCAATTGCCGCAGGAGCACTTGTTCGGCCAATTATTGTTGTCATCTATTCCAGGATTAGCCACCCAGCCGCAAACCCTATTCCGGCTCCGATTTGTCTGTCACCCAGGTTGCAAATCTGTTTATTTTCCATAACTATGGCGTTGGTTTTTGACGATATTATCGTGACGATGAATTATGCATTGGACAAACTTCTTGACTTGTTAGAGAAGGTTCTTTATGGCGAAATTGAGCATGATGAAGGAGTATGTATGATTTTTGATCATGTCTATGAGATCAGTATGAAGCTCAGGTCGATCTATAATTTTAAAGTGCAAATTGATTATGATGCGCTCGACGTAGAATTGTTTTGCTCGGTACAGGATTTAGTTCGTGGTCCCCCAATTTTGACAAATTTGATTCCTTCGGAGTTACAAAATTTTAGAACGCACATGTTGGGCGCTATGAAAATTCTCATTGATACTCCGCCTTCTGCGCCAAATCTGGTCTCTACAGTACTTGAGCAACACATTGAAGCATATGGTCAAGCATCCAAGGAGGAATCAAGTGTTGACTCACAAGTTGGAGATGAAGTGGACACCGAGCCCGAAGCAATAAACAAAGATGACGGGGGGTCCAACATTGTGGGAAAAAATGAAGGTCCTCTTGTAGAAGATGTTGCTAATGTCGACAAGTCAGATTCTACTTTTCAGGAATTTTATACCTCAGCTGGAGTAGTCATTGCAAAGGATGATGTTCCAAAAAGTGTTGAAAAAGTGGCAGATGGAGATGCTAAGCAAGCATGCTCACCTATTTTGATTGACACCATCAAATTATTTGAGCTTGCCGATGTTGTCCCGTATGAGCACCGGGGTTCAAAGAAAATAGTTCAAGGCAAGTTTGGTATACTCTTATATTTCTACCGCTTTACTTCATCTGAGAAGCTCCTTGAAGATTGGTCTACAATTGGACATCTGTTCTGGTTCAACACGTTCTCACATGTCCAAAAGCTTGAGTGGGAACCTCCACCTTGAGGACAAGATGGTTTTTAAGGGGGCGAGAATGATATGATAATATATTAGTCATATTATTTATTAATTAGTAGTCTTTATTAATATCTTATATTTAATCTAGTTTAGGGTTTAGTTACTTTAGTATGGGCCCGAGCCCATTAGGTCATTTCGTGTTACCGTATTACTCTATATATTGTAATCCTTTCCCGTTATTCTGGAATCAATAAAGAAATATCAAAACTTTAATCTCCTTCTCTATTCTCTTGGAGTTCG